TTACATACCAGCTGTTGTGAATGTCAAAGTGGCCGATGGAATTTGTACCGTTTCTGAGGTAAAGATGAAACTTTACTAAAAAAAATCCAAAAACAGCTGATAGAGAATGAGTAAGGAAATGGGCGAGGATGATAGCGATGCGCGTATGGTTTGCAGTCTGAGCAGTTTGAAGCGATAATGTGGCCCCAGGTTTTTCGAGGCTGGGCTTAGAGAGCGGCATATTCCAGCTGTCGAGATGATTTTTCAAAACTAATTAGTGGCGAGTTTTGAATGGGCACAAATGGGTGAAAATCGAATCCAAAAAATAGTGAAAAATGAGCGCACGGAATTGCGGGGGTCACTCACCGTTTAGCTAGATTACAAGGATTTTTTCAAATTGGTGGTATATTTCTTTAGTCAAGTTTTCTGCCCTGCAAATAAATTTGGATGTTGCTGGCAGCGTGCAAGCCGCTAGTCCCTGGTTGCGAACGGCTTCGGTTTCTCTTTTACCTCTGTCTTTTTATTTGTTTCAGAAGAAACTTGAAAAATCTGTACGGTTTCGTCTTGAGTCGGCCGTCTTTATCATTACCGAGAATGAAGCAAAAGGAAGATTTGAACACTTGGTCGCTGCTGTCAGGCTAAAACAGGTAGACGGATTTTGCAGAACATACAGAATTGAAGTATTTTTCAAAGTATGCAAAAAATTTTAGAAGTGTTTGCTGCTAAACACTCGTCCGAAGTGATTTACAATCCCCTGTTTGTTAGTCGATAGAGTCCAAGCTTTCATCATCCTCGAATTTAAGGAATTTATTTACTGCGCTGGTAACTGATAAAAAGTGTAGGATTTTTCTCTCCCTTAGTTCTGAGATACTCGTTTCTTTGTGGGTTTCTGTTTTATTCCACCCCATGCTCTAATTTAGCTTGAATTGTATTTCAATTTTTTTGTAATTCCTCATTTCCTTGCTGCCTTAGCAGGTGCAAGAGTACCTTGCAATAGTTAAATGTGTCATCGTTTAGGATCCATCTTGGGTATTGTTCAATAATATGCTGGTAACCCGAGTATCTGAAAATGAAGCACTACATCTGGGTGCTTCTTGGAAGGTCCCAGCTGTGCTGTATTACGTTCAGGATAAACAATCTGATAATGGTGAGCGTTTATCGTTTCCTGAAAAAAAAAGCTGGGCGGGTAAAATTATTGCCACGGGAACCACGGAAGCTAGAAGGCTGAAATTTTGTGGGCATGCCCTCCATCTGTGTGCTACCCAGAAAATCTAAATTCAGCTTTCCCCTGCTCACGGGTAAAATGTACAGCCCCGTGAAAATTTCTGTCTCACTATTAACTAGGCCTTTAACTGCATCTGCAAGTTAAACACTTCGCTGAATTGGTCGTATTCATACTAGAAATATCGTTCCTTGCGGGCATGGCGTAGTAACAGTGATGACGCGCAGAAAGTCGCTAGCCCATCATCGGAACAGTTCCCTCTAGGATTCATTCATTTCTTTCATTGGTAAATTTATACTGATATGTGCCACGGTGCCAAATTCGCCATCAGCTTAATTGTAAGCAGCTTTTCGCCCACAGCCTCGCCATCGGGTGGCTGCCGTTGACACGTGCAACCGCTCGGGCCACTTTCGAGGTACCGCTTTTTCCCAAACAGAGCGGAGGAGGTTTTGACTTTTCACTGTTACTTCATATATGATTTTAATCTGTACAACTGACAAACTTCTCATTTTCATAGTGGTTATGCTCGCCGAAAAAAACAAATGAAAAAAGGCAAAGGCGTACGTGACGCGTGATTTGTATGAAAAAACTAATTTTGTATCTGTGATATACATATTATAATAAATAATTGGCAAACGCACCGGCTGCCCGTGCGAATATGCGTTTTTTGCATAGCTCCCCGCAGATTTTTGTCGCTAGCGATACTGGCTTTTCTGGCAGATGCTTCTAGCTAAAAGAATTTTAGACTGGTCGCCAGGACTTTCAGGGAAATTCCTTTCAAAATCCCAGTTTTCTAGCTTCTCACTTTCTCAAGTTAGCAACTTTCCCGGAAGAAACTTTCGCGGGCCCGTACGTAGGTAGCGTAGTACCCGCGGCCAGCTTACCCGCGGCCAGGTTTTGAAATCGTTAATACCTCTTGGATGGGAAGAATTGCCCTAAGATTTCAGCGTTCTAGCTTCTCAGATCTCCGAGTTAGGAACTTACCCAAAAAAAATTTTGGCAGGCCGGTACGCGGGTACCACGCTTACCCGGGGGATGGGTTTGAGTCCATTAATACCTAGTTGAGCGGGGAACAATCCTGTAAGATTGCAGCGTTCTTGCTTCTCTGATACCCGAGTTATGAAATTACCCGAAAAAAACTTTGGCGGGCCCGTACGCGGGTACCACGCGGATTTTGGCGCCCATTTTGGAGATTGGAGCCGGCACGTGCATGTAAATTAAGTTCCCGAAGTTTCAGTCCCACAGCTTTTGTAGGTCTTGAGATGAAAGTGCGTGACAGAAGCATAGACAGTCACACAGACAACCCCTCGTCAGTTTATGCGTTTTCTGCATTGCATAGCTGCAAAAAACGCATAAAAATTGCCTTTTTCATCTCTTGCGCCTATGGTTTGCGCTTTTGCCTGTTTCTCATTCCTCAGTGTACTTAGAAGGGCATTTTCCCTAGAATTTGCATCCGTAAGAAGTTTGAGGAATGTTTAGTTAGCGAGAAATGAAAGAGTGCGATGTTCTGTTTGTAGATGAAGAGAAACGGGCGTTAATACCGCAGTCGGTTTTTTGGAATGATATGGGATCAAGTCTGATAAAGATACCGAAGCGCGGAAGCCAAGTTGCAGTCCATGCTAAGTACCTTCTCAACGCAGTAAGTGAAATACTGCTATCCTCTGTACCAAATACTTTAAGATGCACAGTTTCATTGTTGTGTTACTTAGTTTCATCATTGATGCTGCTCGCACGCACAGTTTTATGTCTGGTCACTTTTGAACTTGCCAGAACCGCGTGCCACCACATGACGTGAATGTTCATTTTTTCGCTGATGATATTCATCAGTACGCCACTTTCGTCGATTGCCAGCAGGACGAGCAATATGCCCTGACTATCCAATTTCCCTTTTTGGCATGATCGCTGTAATTTCCTGCACACCGCCCATCTGCAAAAAGGAAATGTTTATTTGGTCACAAAAAATTTTCCTCAGTAAAGACGAAAATGCATCGGGATTGAATGAAATGTGAAAATACATGTTACTATATTGTGATGTTAGTGTAAGGATTTCTTGGAACTTTAAATCAAATAGAAATATTTAGCTCATTGTTTTTGTTAAATTTAGGCCGGAGAACGTGTGGTATCTCAGATATGTGCAGTAGACACGGATGGAAGTTGCTTCATGAACACTATTATGAAGAAAGATATGGCCGAGACACCTAGTTTGCGGCTCGACAAAAGCAACCAGCAATCACTGAAACGAGCTGCTCTGAAACTCCTGTATCTGGCGCAAGAGAAGATGACTATTATCGGTTACAAAATTGACGAGCTGTTTCAGATGTTGAATATCCACGTAAGTCCACATTTTCCTCATATGTTGTGCGGTCGTTTTGTTCACCATCTCACGTTCATTAGTGTTCCTATACTATTGTTTGTGTCAGTGAGGTATCTCCACGTCGGCAAGATATGATATCTTGTCGCAATCTAATAACAGCATTGCTGGAAACGAGATGATGATACATAGGGCGCAGCACGGAAATCTCGAATCGACTTATCCATTGCCAAATGCTTTTTTTTTTTAAGGAAAATATTGAGCTGATAATTTGTTCAGGGGGGCGAGGCGGATGTCAGGATCGCCAACAGCTTACCACAAGACAGTGCGACACTGGTCAAGCAAAACTTACGTGCTGCATAGTTGGAGAAACAGACTGTGTACAGCTGTTCTAAGTATTTATTCCCATTGTACTTCCTTCCATGAGTGACAAATGTTATGGAGAACTAGATGCTTGCAGTAAACACGATTTTGAATTATGGAATTGTTTGGGGGAGGCAACCATCGAAACCATAAACACCAGCTGTTTAGATTCTGCTGAAATAATGTTTACAGGTGCCGGAGGCGCAAGTGAAGGATGTTTTATCGCTTTATCGTTCACTTTTCAAGCGCTCACTTTCCTTGAATGCTTTGGCACAGCATTTCTTTGGTGAGGGTGATTATCCTAACTTCTTCATATCTTTTTATGCATTTTTTACTGCAGCAGTTGTACTGTCCGTGTGTTTGCATGTATGTGTATGCGTGTGTGTGTTCCGGGTACGTTTATCGAGGGTTTGTCTCTTTCCAGAACTTTCTTGGGGCCAGTTGAGATGCTTTGCCATCCACGGTGATTTTCTTTCAAAATTCAGATTAAATATATGTTTCTGTACGTAAGCAAAGAGCAGTTGTTTCCTTTATTTGAGAACGCACTGTTCGTTGTGTTTTGGGCTGCGTATTTTGCGTTTTGTGTTGCAGCTGCATGACGTCCATTGCCTTTCACCGGACATTTAGCTTGGCCCTTAAAATTCTGTCATTTTAATACCCAATTTATGATGCTACGCAACTATTATATTTAATGCTTACAACTTGTAGGTGAGTCAGTTGACGAAAAGCGAGCCGATCCAGTCAATCTTGCTCGCTTGTCGACACGACTCTACGCAAAATTCATTGAGCTGAAAGAGGCCGATGAAACGGATCTGAACATAACTGCGCTAGCTCAAGAGATGGAGAAAAATATTTCATAAAAGTCGTTGATGAATCTCAGAACGAAGTTTGCTCGATACCGAAACGAGTACTGAAGTATCGTTTTGGAATGCTTACACTTGGATTAGCTGTAATTCATTATCTGGTCCACAGCTGTGCTACTAGCAACTTTTCCATTCGTTTTTACTTTGTTGCCCGGTTTGTCTT